GGGACCTCAGTGATTGATATTCTAAGTAGACATCAGTCACCTTTCGGTGGAGGATGAAGCCTCCTTATCTGCCCTTCCAGGAAAGCCCTTGTCTGCCTTGTGTGCTTACTACATGACCTGTTTCCCCACTTGATCCCCATTTAATCAGTATTACCCAAATGACTATACTTGCAATCTTATTGGTTGTAGTTCTGTCCCACCTTAAGCCCGCCTCACTCAAGGCTTTGCTCAATAAACACCCTTGAGAAGCAGGTCGGTGGCAGCCCAATTTCTGGGCCCCATCTGTCCCTCTCAGACAGAAGCTTTCTTTCTCTCAATAAATTCTTCCTATTCTTAACTTCCATTTTTCCTACAATTCATTCTTCGATTTCAGAGAACATGAACATCTAGCAGGTTGGGAGTTTCTTACCCCTATATCAAGATGTCAGTGCCCTTGGTCTTGAAGGGGTAGGACCGGTGGGACAAGTTTAGGGCTTGTGACCTTGTGTTCCAGACTCTCCTTAATGGAGTAGCCTGCTGCAGGCAGAGCTGGGCAGGGTCTGACTCAAAGCCTGATGCAGTGACGAACAGACACAGAGCCGAAGGCAGAGAGGCCAAGCTTCACCCTGCTTTTGATTCAGGAGGAAAGAAACTCCCAACCTGCTAGATGTCCCATATGAGTTCACATTCTCTAAGACCAAACAATGAATTCTAGGAACAATGGGGGTTAAGAGCAGAATATATTTATTGAGGAAGGAAACCTTCTGTCTGAGAGAGATAGAAGGGGTCCTGAGTGGGTTGCTGAGGATTTGCCTTTTCTGGGGATTTTTATAGAGCAAAACCATGAAGTGAGCTGGATCCAAGGCGGGGAAAAATGGGAAATCATACCTGTCCAAGGCAGGTATGAGGTGGGACAAAACTATGGTCAACCAATAAGATTATGAACGTAATTGCTCAGGTAAAATTGATTAAATGGGGATCAAATGGGGAAGTGAGTCACATAGCAAGGGGGCATGAATACGGAACAGGGGCTCTTCCTGGAGCGGGTTGGGTCAGTGGCTCTTCCTGGCTTTCACAAGGTGAATAGCAGTCACTGTTGTTTACCCTCAGGAAGTACGTGGGTGCTTTCATTTCATTTTTGGGTTGAGATCTGGCCCTCAGCTGGAGGTGCATATCTCCCCAACAATTGTAAGGTGTCCCGTCTTCTGTGCTGGCTCCTTTGAGGGCCTCGCCCTGTCTGACTGCCTCTAACATTTCCACCTAACTTAGCTGTCTACAACACTTCCACACAGGCTCAGCCTCTAGGCCCCTGTCTCACTCCTTCTCGGCCTCCCATGTGGCTGGGGCTACACACCCGTGAAACGGCCCAGCCCACCTGAATGTTAATGGGACCACAGCTTCCCAAAGTTAGCCACACAAGGGCACAGTCAGGACGCAGATTCCTGGGCTGCCCTGGGAGGCTCTGGGGTTTGCAGCTGGGGCCTCTTCATTATGCCCCTTGCATAACTACACAGACCAAAGCTCTCAGAGGCCTGGGAACCAGGGAAGGCTTTCCGTGGGTGGCTGGGTGTTTCCTCTCCAGCACAAGGCAACACACAGGGAAAGCCAGATCCAAGCTCACTCAGTTGGCTGACACGAGTAATTCCTTTCTCAATGAAAACAGCACGGTTTAGGTGCAATTTAGGTTACTGAAGAAAAGTGGAGACTATTCATACTGTGAGGTGTGTCTGTGCTGCTTTCCACAACCACAGGAGGCTTGGGTGACAGTTTGCATCACAGAGCGATTCTGGGCTGTAACTCACCTTTTTTTTTTTTTGTCTTTTTGAGATGGGGTCTCACTATACAGTCAGGCTGGCCTCGAACTCACTTTGCAGCCCAAGCTGGCCTTGAATTCACAGTAATCCTTCTGCCTCAGCCTCCCGAGTGCTGGGATTACAGGCGTGCGCCGCCACGCCCCACTGTTATTTACCATTTGTGTGAGTCTCACGACGTGGCCCTGGGCCTGTAAACATCCGTTCTGTTCTGCCCCATCTCCTCCTCCTTCTCCTCCACGACCCTCAAGCCCCGGCCCAGCAGGCATTGCTGGCTTCCTCAGCCAGCTCTCCCTGCACTTGCCCCGAAATAGGATGGGAGTGAGGCTTTGGGATCAGGCTGCCCAGTGGCTCTGAGAAGGACTTGGGGGGTCCCTGGCGTGCACTTGTCAGCCACTGTCCAGCATGGGTGCCGGGGCTCTGCCCCAGCTGGCCAGGCACACAGCCCATGCGCAGCTGGGTGTGAACCCAGGGTCCAGGCCAGGCGGCAGGAGGGCTGTTCCTCTGATCAGGCCTGCCCTGCACTGGGCCATCTGCCTCCTGCTCTTCCGTCCCTGTGATTGCGTCTCCACCCTGCCTTTTTATTAAATGCTCCCTAGAGCCCACTTGATGTGCACGGGGCATCTGGGTCTAGTCAACATCACAGCTGAGCCATCTTCGTCCCTGGCCCAGGGCGTGTGGGTGGGCTTGGTGCCAGTCTGCACAGCAGACACACAGTTCTGGTCCCTTCCCCAGCCCTGCTGGGCCCTTCTGTGCCTCGGCCCCTTCCTGTCCCCAGGGCCCCTCCACCCCGGAGAGGAGCGGGCTTCCTGAACTCGGGAGGACACAGAAGACCCTGGCAGCCCAGCACCCTCCTAGCTGCCAACTTCAAGACTCGGATGCAGAGGATGTGGCCTGGGGACCGGGGCTCTCAGTGGCAGGGAGCGTGGAGAGGACAGACCACGAGGGCAGCACGCTGACCACCAGCCCACGGGCTGAGGTGTACACACACACATTTGAGCCCCGGAGCCCCATGGGGGCCAGCATCACCCTTGCTCTGTGGTCTGCCAGCACCGTGAGGTGAAGGGCCCCTTGCCGGTGCCGGGGGAGGTAGGTGGGGACCTGGTT